ACTTCAAAAACAAGTCAAAACATACTTTTAAAAACTGTACAGGCATTACTATAAATTTACTTACCTCACTCGCATAAATTGAGGACTCAATCTCAGTACTAAACTGACAGAACAATCAGGAATCTAATCAAAATATCCCAAAATTAATTACCGTATCACGGATTCAAAAGTAAAATCATCATTAGAACTACCCCTAATCATGATGCTATTTTTATCAATCTCCACATGACCAGACATCTCCAAATTTGTTTTTATATTACAAACTAATCATTTAATCCCCGTTAATTGTTGGTCATCAGTGCGTGAACAGTGCTCGTGAACAGTAATCATGCCATGAACAGTAACTGCACTTCCATAAATTGGCAAAACAATGGCTAATTCACGGGATTTTTCTCCAAAAATCACAACAACCAACTCAAGCAATTTCCACTTAAATTAAACAAAAACCCACTTAAAACTACCAAAATTCTCCCATTTTTCCAGCAAAATTCGGACACACAAGGCAACAAATAAATGGACAAATTTGGGGCTTGGAGGGGCTGTCAACATACCAGAATTTCAGCAAGCAAACCGGAGCTGCAAGCTAAGGGAAAGCCGACGGCAATTTGGGGAGAAATTCGGGATCTACCCAAAATTGGAGAACCACAAGCACAAATTAGAGTAACCCAAGTTAATTTAAGGCTAAAAGAAGGATAACCATGGCTGTTTCTTACCAGAAATTGCCCAGAATTCGCACAAGCTGCAGCTCGCGGACGGTAGAGGGAGGAAGATGCAGAGCAGATCTGGAATTTCTGGGTTGAGAGAGAGAGTTCTAAGCTTGAAACTTGGTTCTTGAGCAAGAAAGGAGGGAAAATTTCAAGAAGCCTTACTGGTCTTTCAAAGGGAAGGCTGTCGGCTTGGTTGGGTTTCCTTGCCGGCTGCAGGGAAGAAGAAGAAGAGCAAAACACGCGGGCTGAAGAAAGAAAGAAGGAAGAAAAATAACCCGATCCTTATCCAATTATTTTCTCTTTTAAGTCCCTCAACTTTTGAAATATTCACTATTAGGCCCAAAAATTTTATTTCCTCATAATCAAGTCCTTAACTAAGTGCTAAAATATCACAAAATTTTGGGATATTACATTCACCCCTCCTAAAAAGGAGTTTTGTCCCCAAAACTCAAATCTAGGAGCATCTAGACTGGTGAATGGTTTCACACAATCCAAGACAACAAATGCCCCACCAACTCTTTATGAATAGACATGGCCTACTATGCTTCCGCTGCGCCACTCTGATATCAAACCACAACAAATCATAAAAGCAAAACATTAACTACTTAACAAGGTTTACCATGAAATAAGCTACCGAAGGCTGGCATGATATTGGAAGCACAAGGAATAAAAAAATAAATCCTGCCAAAGCCACAAAAGAACAATTGTGGGGTTACGCTATGAACCCAACACAAGACGAGTTGGCAAAAAATGGCATGGATTTAAAGACGCGTACAACAAAACTTTGAACTCTGTCAAAGACGAATAAGCATCCAACGGATGTACAAATCATGAATGAATGAACGAGTGCATGGATGCCTTACAAATTCTGCCACAACAAGGTCAACCAATAAGCAGGGTCATGTTTAACAAAGCAATTGGAATCAAGAGACAAATTTTAGCAATTAACAAGAGTTAAAAGCTAGACCCATCAAATGAGTTGTGAAATTTTCAAAATAGCACCAAAATGAAAACAGTGGAAAACATGAATGCTTGAAAGAATACTGAAACATAAGAGTGCAAGGTAGAATGCCTCAAAATTTTAGCAACAAAATGGCATTCACCAAGAATCAAGATCAAATTTAACCAAGCAGTCAAAATTGAGAGACAATAGTTAACCATGAAACAAGCAATAGAATTCAAGGATTAGGCCTACAAAAGAGATTTCAATAATAACAACCAGAACATGAATTCAAGAGCGGATATAACCAAGATGTCAAGATTTAGCACCCCAAGTAACATGAATTAATTGACAGAATAATCAATAATGGGGATCAAGATACTTAGAAGTTTACTATCTTCTAATTAAAAGGGCAAACAAAAATTAAAGCAGCCAAATGAAAGAACCATTTCTCTTGGAACAAAACTCTAGGGCATCAGGTACTTCAAAGACTACCCCTTCACCTTGTAGCCCATGGGGGCTAAGCAGATTTACAATTAGGTCATCCTAGAGTCAAGTCAAAGTCAAGACATCAAGAATACAGAGATGAATACTTGCAAGAGACAGGAATTAGGATGCCTCATATAGGTATTCTCTAATAATCTTCACCCCTCTTAAGAGGTGTCCATAAGAACTTAAAAATCAAGATCAACAGGTATACTAAAACAAGAACTAACAGAATGTGCAGGATTTGAGTAAGAGCAGTATATAGAATTTGAGCAAGAACCAGTGTCAGAACAAGAACGTTTTTAAGGACAACTCAAAATAGATTCCAAAAACCAAATATCAATTGATTTTCAAGAAAAGGATGCTAACATGACTTTACTTCAGGCAAGGTTCAAGATAAGATTCCAAGAATAGTGCAAGAATTAATTTCAGACAAGTATCAAGATAATGAGGATTTCAATAATCATTATCCATTTCCTTTGGATTTCAGTTTCCAGAACAAGTACAAAGCAATCTCAAGAAAGATTCAACATGGATTTCAAGAGTTTCAAGCCGTTCCAGGTATCAAGAATGTAGAGATTAGCAACAATAGAGAGTTTAACTTTATAACAGCTTGCCAATCTTCACAAAAACAAGGCAATTTCAATTGAATTGATCATTGTTTTTGATTAACCAATATAGAAAAATGAGCCACATGAAAAGACCATGAAGCTCCAAATGGAAAAATGAACTTCACTATAAGACTCTCAAAAAGATAATGAGCAGCGGAATTACCAAGTTAATCCAACTCCTAAAACGCATCTAGAAAACACACAACATTTGCTAAATGGCCTTGAATCTCTTATAAAGTAGAGGATTGCTCATCTTCCACTGGTCATGTGACAAACAAAATAAATTTCTCAACCAACTATGCTGTAGAGACCAACAAGATCAATAACAAAAGATCTCTGCAACTCCCCAGATTTTACAATTGTGGCAAAAGAGCATACAAAAACTCTATTTAAGTAACAAGTCTAAACAAGTGCAGATTATCAGAAAATGACCAAGTTTCAAAACAAGGTCTTAAGAACATGGCGGACAAGATTAATTTCATGAATCTACATAAGGTATGAAGGCAGGAAACAAGAACAATCAGATTACCATCTCCTCAAAATGGATTAGAAAATTCAAACAACATGAATCATAATCGTCCCTTATATAACCCCATCACTCATCTCACCACGGTTCTAAAATCCATTGGCCAACCAAGTTCCAAACAAATCCTAGGTATTCAATTAAACCTAGGTGTTTAATTAAATCTGAGCTTTGATACCACTCAATCCGGAGGTGCTTAATTTAATCCTAAGGTCTTAATTTAAACCAAAGCTCTGATACCACTAAATTTGTCACCCCCCAGAACCCGAATCCGAGGTGCGACAAACGTCGTGCACTTGTGAGAAGGTCCCACAAATACATAAGGCTCAGAATTTATCCAATTCACATCTGATACCACAAAATCTGAAGATAATATTTTAAAATTTTCTCTGATATCATAAAATCTCCAATAAAGTTTAGCTTACAAGATCTCGATCTACATCTAAAATCCATGTTCAATTTACAAGATGGCTAGCCTTCTAACTCGTCACTTCTCGTGGTTTCCCCGTCCTTGATTTCGCTTCCTAAAATGGTGGACAAGGAAAAACTATGAGATAAACTCAGTAAGTAAAATATGGAGTGCCCTTTATTAAACTTATAGCATGCCAACAAGTATAATCACGACAAACAGATACGGGTACGGAAACGAAATAGACGTCTCCTCTATAGGTCATGGCCAGTGTTATAAACCTCCCACTGACAGGCACACGATTTACTAGTGTATAATCCCACTAGCAGGATAACAAAAACGAACTGGTTCTATCAGTAACATTGTCGACATGTGCTAGCGTTTATAAACCTTTCACTAGCAGGCACACGAATAACATGGCCATATCGGAGACAAAATAGGCAGAAGTTAACAGGAAAATTACAATTCACAATCACTTTCAGATCACTAGGACAGTCAATTAAATTCCAAGTAGGCATGCTCAATTTAATGAAAAGCATAAAAATTTATTTCAAATCAATCATGCTCATTTTGTATAAAACGGGTTTAGTCCCACCACCACTTCAAAAACAAGTCAAAACATGCTTTTAAAAACTGTATGGGCATTACCATAAATTTACTTACCTCACTCGCATAAATCAAGGACTCAATCTCAGTGCTAAACTGATAGAACGATCAGGAACTTAATCAAAATATCCCAAAACTAATTACCATACCACGGATTCAAAAGTAAAATCATCATTAGAACTACCCTTAATCACAATGCTATTTCTATCAATCTCCACATGACCAGACATCTCCAAATTTGTTCTTATATTACAAACTAATCATTTAATCCCCGTTAATTGTTGGTCATCAGTGCGTGAACAGTACCGTGAACAGTAATCACGTCATGAACAGTAACTGCACTTCCATAAATTGGCAAAACAATGGCTAATTCACGGGATTTTTCTCCAAAAATCACAGCAACCAACTCAAGCAATTTCCACTTAAATTAAACAAAAACCCACTTAAAGCTACCGAAATTCCCCCATTTTTCCAGCAAAATTCGGACACACAAGGCAGCAAATAAATGGACAAATTCGAGGCTTGGAGGGGTTGTCAACATACCAGAATTTCAGCAAGCAAACCGGAGCTGCAAGCTAAGGGAAAGCCGGCGGCAATTTAGGGAGAAATTCGGGATCTACCCAAAATTGGAGAACCACAAGCACAAATTAGAGTAATCCAAGTTAATTTAAGGCTAAAAGGAGGAGAACCATGGCTGTTTCTTACCAGAAATTGCCCAGAATTCGCACAAGCTGCAGCTCACAGACGGTAGAGGGAGGAAGACGCAGAGTAGATCTGGAATTTCTAGGTTGAGAGAGAGAGTTCTAAGCTTGAAACTTGGTTCTTGAGCAAGAAAGGAGGGAAAATTTCAAGAAGCCTTACCGGTCTTTCAAAGGGAAGGCTGTTGGCTTGGCTGGGTTTCCTTGCCAGCTGCAGGGAAGAGGAAAAAGAGCAGAACACATGGGCTGAAGAAAGAAAGAAGGAAGAAAAATCACCCAATCCTTATCCAATTATTTTCTCTTTTAAGTCCCTCAACTTTTGAAATATTCACTATTAGGCCCAACAATTTTATTTCCTCACAATCAAGTCCTTAACTAAGTGCTAAAATATCACAAAATTTTGGGATATTACAGTCGGTGAGAGGTGGAATGACCTTAGCTGCTTCGGATCTCCACCATTGAGAAAATTCCTTGAAGGTCTCATTACTCTTCTTAGTAATTCTTTGCAAGCTATCCCTTGTAGGGGCGAAGTTGATATTGTACTCATATTGCCTCATGAAAGCTTGAGAAACATCTTTGAAAGAACATATGTTTTTCTTGTCAAGTGTTAAAAACCAAACACTTGCTGGGCCTGAGAGACTGTCTTGAAAATAATGAACAAGTACCCTCTCATCATTGGCATAAGGTGCCATCTTCCTAGCATACATCATTGGCATAAGGACATCCTGAACCATCATACTTGTCAAAATCTCACTGCTTGAACTTGAAATTCATTTGGATTCCCGGATAGTAGCAAAGATCATCCAAATCAATAGAACCATAAACTTGTGGTCCTTGCATAGCTTTCAAAGTCTCTTCCAACTATTGCAACTTGTGATCGACCTTTCTTGACTTCCCATCCTCCAAAGCAGGACTCAATATGTCAATTGAGGGGTTGGGTTGAATAGCTGGCACTTGTCCTATCAAAGGTGGTATGTTAAGGGTAAGAGGTATGGTTGTGAGCAAGGTAGGGTTGTTCATCTTGAGTGGTGGGTATGAGGCTTCAGAGGGCAGAGATGATATTTGTGGAGCATGTGAAGATGACTCCCCCATTAGAGGCTGATTCTTATAAATAGGTGGAAATTGCAATTGTGTGACCATTGGATCCTTAGCATGATTACCCAGTGTGATGGTAGACAATGGAATAATGACAGGTGGAGCTGATGTTGTGGGCACTAAGGATGCAGGTGAGGGAACCGAACTAGTAGTCAAAGTGGATAAAGTGAGACTTACAATCTGAAGAGTAGCAGTCATAGTTTGCATTGTAGCTTCCAACTTATCAACCCTCTCATCCACAGCTGATTTCTTTGGATTGGTAACAATATTTTCCTTAAACATTTTGATTACTTTAGATTTGAGTGAATACGGAGAATGTTGCTTCTTGAAGACTTTTCGCCTTGGAGCTATGATTAGAAGAATTTTTACCTACCAACAGAAATGTAAAGACAAAAAGGAAAAATTAGAAAACTAAAGAGACTTTAGCCCTCTTTGATTGGACCATCAACTTGCCCTTTGAAGTTCCATATGGATTCTCGTGTTGACATTCCATCTTGTGTGAAGATATTTCCCTGTTTTGCAAAGAGAGCATGATTTGTCCTTAACTAAATGAACACACTTTAAATAAAGTTAGCAAGCATTACAAAGTTGCATTCAAAGTGCTTACAAGCTTTCATTCTTTTAAAGCTACGACAAACTAACTAAGGAATGCACTTCAAACAAAGTGGGCAAGCATTACAAAGTTGCATTCAAAGTGCTTACAAGCTTTTATTACAAAACACAAATCCTAGTACAAACTCTTTGAGCACATTAGATATTTCAATGATGAAGTCGAAGACTGGTTGGAAGAATCCCCTCTCAATTGAATAGGTCCTTTGAGCAATGTGGTGATGAGTCTCGACTATCCTCCCTTCAAACTTCACGTAGGCGAGTCTCGACTATCCTCCCTTCAAACTTCACGTAGGCTAGTGTTCTCTTCAACAAGAGTTTGGTTCTTTTGCTTCTAGGCTTGGAGTTGATAGTGCACATCCTCCATGGTAATTACAGTTGATAGTCATGTCTTGTAGTTGTCTTTCCAACTGCTCATTGGCTTTGCGAAGGTGTTCATTGTCCTTAGTCAACTGGTGCAGATAAGAGATGGTTTCTTTATTAAGCCTTTGAGTACGGGTAGAAAACTCCAATAAAATCTTGTGTGATAGGGGCTTGCGTCTTGGATGTGTGTGAATCCATATTTCCTTTCAAAGGCCACAAATGGTCCAAACAAAAAGGGCTTGAGAACTAAAGACAAAATGATTGGATAAAGATATTAATAAGAAGATAATGAGTGATCATGTATAATCAAATGACTATGCATATGTGATATGAGACTTGAAAAATGAAAATTTCTACCATAATCATGGATTTTACTTCATCAAATACACTTTTGACAAAGGAGAAAGATTGTATTTATTCAAGTAAACTTTCCTTGACAAATCTAGATTTCTAATGTCTGTACAAAAGCTCCCAAGTAACAAATCTTCCTCCAGGTTGATTAAATTGTACTTGAGGAGTAAAGGCACAAGAATCCATCGCAGGACTACACTGCAGGAAGTGATGAAACTCATCAAGGGTGGGCACTAACTCAAAATGTGGGAATACAATAGCTTGACATTTAGGCACATAGAATTTCAACATGGCTCTAAACAAATCCCAATCTGGCACCACTAACAATAAATCCCCAATGCACCAAAATCGAACCTTAGAGTCATACTTCTCCTTAGAGGACAACAAGCCATAAGCCTCTTTCAACAACTTCAAGTCGGGTTTAGAGGTATTGATTAAAAAGATTGACTCCCTAGCTCTCTTAGCAATTGAATGAGATGTGACATCTTCACCAAGTCTCTTCCCTTGTCTAGTTGTATCCTTAGTAAAATCCATGTCTAATGCATGATCTTACCTGAACAAAAGGCTTAAAGAAGTTAAACATAAATCATACCCTCACATGCCATACCTCATTAAGTGTGCAAAAATAAGCTGCCATATGCGCAAACAAAGGTTAATAAAGTAAAATGCCCCTTTTGTGTCTTACACATGAGATGCCTAGCCTCACGGGTGGGATGCTAAGGGAAATATGTTCTAAGGTTGGTATCTCTCTAAGGTCAATACATGTTTTCCTAAAGGGCATTAGGCATTCTCAACCATTTATCCTTTCGGAGTCAACGGGAGCTATTTCCAAAAGCTAATACACAAGATGATATTACATCATCAAGTGTTGTATTAACCAATGGTAACAACCTAACGAGAACCGATCTTACTCCTCAAAGCGGAAAGAATTGCTCTTTCAAGCTAGATTCATAAGGATGCTAGACTAGAGGTCGAGTTCACCTTTGACACGAACCTAATGCAAAATGAGAGTGTGTGTGTAAAGGGCATGGCACCCTAGTAACCTGCACAATGGCAACCACAAAAATAACAACATATATCCCACGACAAACAGATAAAGCAAACGAGCGAATAAAACATGTAAAGCTTCCAACAAATATAGCATCCACAAACAAACCTACTTACATAGCAAGAAGGGACTCACCTAGTACTCCCATGCCAAATGCAAAAGGTTAGTAGCACAAAGCAACCAACACTTAGCATGCAACAAGATATAAATAATCACACAAGAGGGAAGAGACTCGCTTAGTACTCCATAGCCAAGTGTAAAAGGTGAATATATCCACACACAAGCAAGCAGGCATGTAAGCATGATGCATGATGAATGAGCATGTAACACCAATGATGCATGAGCATGTGAGATGATATGATGCATAAACATGTTAGCAAGGTATGATGCATGTCAAGATGTAGCAAGACAACTACTCAAAGGCCAAACAATCAAAGCAACCACTAAAACAATGAGCAAACAAGCAACAAGCAACAAGCACATACAATGAATGACAAAGACCCACAAAGACTTAACAATTAAAGAAAATCGAAAGCTAAAAAATCCTCAAAGTTAAAGTATTAGCTCGACCCTCGCGAACCTAGAATATGGAAACTAGAGATTTTGGGTTTGATTCCCAGTGGAGTCGCCAATTTGTTGACGACCACTTAAAATTTCAAAATAATGAAAAGAGAAAAGGAAAATAAAAATAATGGAAAATTAAGTGTGAAAAAAATATAAAATCAAAGAAGTTGTCACTCATCAAAATTATAAGGTGGGACAAGTCACCTAAAATAAGTCTGCGTAAAGATCGGGGTTCGAGGGTTCAGTTAGAAGTGAAGAAGGGCATACGTGCACCTCATAATCCTCTATTTAAACACGGTTGCATACTTTAACTTTGGGTTTTTTTTTTAATTCAACTTCTTTATTATCTTTATATTTGAGTCTTAATAAATAAACTTGAAAATAGATGGACCAAATTATAACATTTTAAAACTTTTAGACTAAAATGAACAAAACCAAGAACATGCATACACAATAAACATAAATAAAAGTTAAGGGATTGATTTGATTAAATTCGAAACATGAAGGATTGATTTGGAGAAATTTGAAATCTTTGAGCTAAATTACTGGATTACGAAAAAAGTTTTGGGTGGAATTGAAATAAAAGGAGGATAATTTTGACTTTGACCAAGATTAAAGGAAATTAAAGATTTAAATTAATTAACTATGATAATTAACATAATTGAATGATTAATTTAACATTAATTAAAATTAATTAATCACATTTATTAATCTTTGATCAAGATAATTAAGTAACATAATTATCTTAAATTAAGATCCATAAATATGATTAATTTTTTTAATTAAAATTAATTAATTTTATTAATCATAAATTAAATTAATTATCTTAATTAATTAATAATTTTATTTATATCATTTTTTTTACTTTACCATTTTTTTTTTATGGTTTGTTTTAATTTCTTTTTTTAAATTGGATTGGATCTACCGAGCCCAAAAACACAAACCACCCTCCAAAAACATAAAAAAGGAGATAGATCAAACATTGAACAAGAAAAACAAATGAAATCTGGAAAAGGGATTTACGGTTCTTGTTTAACCATTCATCAGCAGAGACAAGGGAAAATAAATAAGCATTTACTTCAACTCAAATTCATGAAATTCAATCAGAACATGTTTGATTTTTTTTTTTTCATTCACAATGTCATCATCAAATACAGTCCTAATACATTGAAATCTAAGACAAATTGAAACAAACAAGGTAGAAATTTTCTGGGAGATGACAAATCCAGATCCGAAGGAGGCATCCCACCCATGGGATCAAGCTCCATTCGTCTCCCTCACCATCCTTCCCAAAAATTCCTCCGTTTAGGGAATTACCTAAGCAGGAAATAGACACAGAGAAATAAGCTTCCTTTTCAGCCGTCGGCCACCTCCCCTTCTTCTCCACGAAATCTCCCTCTATTGCTCTTGAAAACCCAGATGGAGACTCCCAAAACCAGACCCAGAAATCAACCAAAGAAA